AGAGACACATCTGGCCTTCACTTTTCCACATAGTCGCCAAACCTGTTTAGGCATTTGTCAGAACGTTCGACCAACTTGTTTATCCCGTCTTGGTAGTAATCAGGGCCCTGCTCATTGAGCCATTTCTCGGCAGCTGTTTTCACTGCATCGTCTGAGGTGAACCGTGTTCCGGATAAGTATCGCTTCAACGCCGGAAAAATGAAATAGTCACTTGGAGCCAAATCGGGGCTGTATGGGGGGGTGATTCCAGACCTCCCACTTGAACCTTTGCAGCAATTCCTGAGTCTGGCGAGCTGTATGGGGCCTGGCATTGTCATGCAGAAGAATGACGCCTTTGCTCAGTAATCCAGGCCGTTTGCGTCGGATGGCTTTACGCAATTTCGTTAAGGTGGCACAATAACGATCGGCCTTAATGGTATGGCCACGCTCCAAATACTCGATTAGGATAACACCAGTCGTATCCCAGAAAACGGTTGCCATCACTTTACCGGCAGAGGGTGTGACCTTAAACTTCTTCCTCGTCGGTGATCCAGCGTGTTTCCACTCCATCGTGGCTCTTTTGGATGTGGGGGTGAAGTGATGAAGTGATGAAGCCATGTTTCATCACCGGTAACGATGCGATCAATGAAGTGTTGGCCGTCTGAATGGTATCGCTGAAGAAATGTGAGGCTGCACATCATTCGAGTGGCCTTATGCTCCGCGGACAACGCACGTGGAACCCAGCGGGCACAAACTTTGGAAATATCGCAACTTATCGGTTACGATACGCTGAACGTTACCATAACTGAGGTCCAACTCTGAGGCAATCTCACGCACGGTTACTCACTCGTCGATCCCTTTGGATGATTTCTTCAACACGTGCCGTGTTGATATCCGTCCTTGAAGAACTTGGACGGCCGCTCGCTTCCATATTGCGGTTTTCCACATGCTCCCTGCCCGCTTGATAAGAACGACACCATTTCGCTACCTGTTGTCTACTCATTGCTTTGTCCCCGTATACCTCAACGATTTGTCTGTGAATTTCGGATGCGGCCACATTCTTGGCCCATAAGAATCGAATTACGGCTCGCACCTCTATGCGAGACCACTTTTCTAGACGTCGTGCCATTACTGTCGCTCTTAAGTGTCTGCGTACTGACGCTACTTACTCGTAGAACCGCTGTAGGACAACTAGCGCCATCTGTCAACCACCCTGGGTGGAAATATTCGGTTATAGGGTGCTCTGTCAACCACCCTGGGTGGAAATATTCGTTCCACAATTATTATGTTTCAAATGCTTCTGCTTGTAAACTTTTTTTTTGGATCAACCTACGTAATATATCCAGTGTTCTCAACTTAAGTTGACCGGTAGCATAATGGTATAGTAGCAAATATTATTAAATGGTGTACATTATATTCGTAACATATCTCAAAGTTGACAGGACTTTCGTTGCTTTAAAAGTCATTTAAATTTTACATGTGTGGTAGAAATAGAAAATTTTAACCATGTGTAACTTTGTGAATGTGTGAATGTATAAATGTATAAAATGTACAAAATGTACTGTATTACTGTTTAGCAACAAGATGCATTCATTCAGAGTCTTTAATAAATCAGCTGACTGCTTATTGCTCATGTATTTTATGTTGTTCCTGTCATAGTATGCTCTATTGATGAATTTAATGTAATGAAGTATAATAAAATGAATAGGGGAAAAGTTTGTATTGCAGAAAACAATGTTAGTTAGTGGAATTGGCCACTGAAATACGTTTTGCAATGCTACATCATAGTGTCAAAGGTGCAAGTAGAGACGACTCCAAAATTTGTGATAGTGGTAAACAATTTATAGAAACAAGAAGTAAGAAAACAAATCTTGTTGTTTCTGAAGTGAATGCTGTTAGAAAAGAGGATTTTCAAGTAAAACTGACTCTTCTGGATCGTCAGAAAATGTATACATAATGTCAAAAGCAGGAACTTCAAATGAACTTACTGTTGCAGTATTTCGAGAAAGTATGAGTTCAAACAAATTATGTTTTATTTTAAAAGGAGATATTAAAGTATGTGGAACAACCTTTTATCACAAGAGATGGTCTGGCTGAATAAAATATTGATCAAAGAAACTCCTTATTGTGAAAAAGATTTTAAGTGCTTAAAATTAATTTATAGATTCATATTTTTGTTCATAATTTGTTCCATACAAGAGGTAGTAGTGATTAATGAGTTGTAACTGAATGCATTTTGTTGCCAAAAATAGCAACAAAACACAGTACGTTTTTAAACTGTGTTTTAAACACAGTAAAAAATAAAAATAATAATAATAATAATAAAATAATAATAATTTTCCCTGTCTAACTAGTTGATACCTATAACCATGCAAAAATCCAAAATGATGGTATTTAAAGTATCTGCAAAATTTTTCATGTGATAAATTTGCTGAATTCTACTATCGAACTGAAAAGTGTATACCATTTTGCAAGTGTTAACTGTTTATAATTATGCTGTGTATCAATAGATAGATAAAAATGTAAAAACATTCGTGTAGGCAGTGTGGTAGAACTTGCTGAGAATAATGTCCATTAATAATCATCATTCTTAATGGTTCAAAAAGCTTTTGTGCAGAGTCATTCTGAATGGCTTAAATTGTATATTTAAATCCAAAAAATTTTATGCTACCTCTTGGAACTATGTGGTTGTGTACTGGCCGAGTTTGGTTGGTTTGATTTATTTGACTATGACAAACGCTAGGGCTATATTCCTAAGGGAAGGGGTGTCTTTGTTAAGAATTTTTTAATGAAAACAGTCATATTCATGTTACATATGCATATTGTTTGAGGAACATAAGTTAAATATACCCTGATACTTGATGGGAGATTAACGAATATTTACTGAAAAATGCCTTTGACTTTTTAAAGAAAATGCCATATCCATATTAACATGCATATTGGTTGCGGAGCATAAGTTAATGTACCCAGATATATGATGTGGGTAAATGACTATTTATTGAAATGGTATTTTCAGGTGGCATGTTTTTGCAGTGCTCTGTGTGTGTATTATATTGAAAACTGTAACCTTTGTTTCTTTAACTGTTGAAAGATTATTGTTCACGTTTATTGTATATCAAATTTACATAAGGTTCCCATAGAACACTGCCCAAACTTTATTTTCAGATCTTTTTCAAATAAGAATAATTTAATTAATATATGAAGTGAATTCTTTACAAAGCCATTATATTAAGGATGGAGTCAAGTTCGGGTTTTATAAAAGTATGCATAGAGAGAGCAAATCTTCATTATCCCCATGGTTTCAGATAATTTGATCGTCTCTGGTGGTGATTACTTTTAGAGAGCTTCAGTTTGATATCACTATTTGTTACAGTTGCTAGAAATACTGGTCATTCATTGGCTGTATCAGAAAATGACCGATACATATAGTAACATACTGATCAGATAAGTACAAACTATCAGCAAAACATTCTTAAACTTACACAGGAGTTGAGGAAACTTTGTATCAGTGTGCTAGGAACAGTTTTCCCCTATGTATCTGCTAGTAAGATTTTGGCCAAAAGAGCAAGTGACTAGTAGACTCTTAATCTCAAGGGCTACTTCTATAAATGACCAGATGGTTATATGCCTATAATGGATCATAATTCTTTCTTAAACTTACTATCAGAATGAAAGTTGTGATAAAACTTTTTAAGAATTAACTTCTTCAGATAAGTTTTAGTAAAACTGTTTTTTTTTTACTAGTTTAAACCTTAAGTTCTTTGTCATTATAATTTAAATTTTTTTTAAAGGCATAGCTATTAAATTCTAAAATCACATGTGCACTTTTCCTTTAAATTAAAGAAAAAGAGCTCTTTAAGAATTTAACATTTTCATTACTTTTTTTTGGGGGGGGGAGAGGATCAATTTGAAATGAGGGAAAGGTACAAAACAGATTCAGTGATTCAACCTAATGTGGGCTAATATACACATCTACTATGTTTGTTATGAATCCATGAGTAAATGTCTGCTACGTATGCAGATTCACGATGAGAGGTATGTAATAACTGCTTTAGTTCAGTTTAAACTTATGTGGATTCAAGTAATGCCATTTTTATCCTTGAATGCAAGTTGAAAGGTTTTTCTTTTTTTGCAAAATTAATTTGAATTGCAAATAAATTTTATTTTTTCTGCACATAAACTAAAAATCTTTATGTGTTTCTCAAAATCTGCTGAAACAATTGAGCCTAACAGTCTTTAAGCAGAGATAAATCAGTCTGATGCCCCTTTTTCATAGTCATCTTCCTATTTAAAAGAAAGCAAAAGTATAATGAATCTCTTATGGCGATCTCTTCCCTGATATGACTGACTCTTAAAAGCTAACGTCACCTATCTAAAATGCTTCTGTGAATGACCTCATCTGGAATTTTGTTTGATCTTTTAGAATTTACTGCAAGTGCATTGAATTTGTTAGAGTCATTAGTTTCTTTTCAGCCACAACTGAGATTCAGAATGATGCTGAAAACTATACATTTTATTGAATTGCACTAAAATCTCTTCTGTTGCTGACAGTCAGATGGTCATTTCACATAGTTTTCATTATTACATCATTACACATTTTCGTGTAATGATGAAAAAGACACACAATATCTGGTAACTTCCCATTTAGACCATCAATTAAAATTTTGAACAACTATACATTTTATTTAATTGCTCTAAAATCTCTTCCATTGTCTGATCAGATGGTCGTTTCACATGTATTACGCATTTTTCTGTGATATGAAAAGTAGACAAAATATCTGGTAATTTAACATTCAAACCAACAAATAAAACGATTTTGAATAACTAATTTTGTTAAGTTGGTTGTCAGATTTTGAATGTGGTGATACTTAATTTTAAGTTGTGAATTCAACTTCATATATCGGAATCTTTATTTTGTATAAGGAATTTGAAATTAAAGTTTGTATGGTATTTCATAAATTTTTTTATATGTCTATATATTAAATATTCTTCTAAATTTGAAAGGTGTTTTAATTTTGCAGATGTATATCACATTGACAGTGGTTTGATGATTGATTATGAAGAATGTAAATCAGGGAAGGAACTAGAGCTGGCTAAAGTTGCAGTTTTTCTTCTCAGTGCTCTTGTCCAAAGTCTTCTGTCTGCTGGAAGTCAAGAGGTCAATACTTTAACTTTGCTTAGTGATCAAACTCAAGAAGATATAAAAGAATGTATAGCTCTACTTGTTGAAAACTCGCCATATGGTATTCGTAGAGTGGAATTGCATAGAATTCTTAACCGCCCAGCAAAATGCAAAGGTTTGTCTTTGTGTTCTGATAGAAAGTTTGCTAATTTGCTTCTAAAATCTCAGAAAAAAACTAAATTTTACACTGGTCATCAAATTTAGTGGATAACAATAAAAAATTTGCTCATTAAGTTGCAACCAATGCCCAGTACTGTAATTATTTATGTTAATTAAATACAATTGAACACAAAATTGCACTTCTGTGTATATGTTAGTGCCGGAAATATGCTAATTTGGTGATGACAGTGCTCATTAAGTTGCAACCAATGCCCAATGCTGTAATTATTTATGTTAATTAAATACAATTGAATGCAAACTTTCACTTCTGCACATATGTTAGCACAGGATATATGTTAATTTGGTGATTGGCAATGTGATGCGCAGAGGATGCATGTTGAAATCCGGTCTCTAATGTTGTTTAAAGTAAATGTGGTTCTGAGAGTCAAAGCTGTATGTAAGTAAAGCGTCGGCACTCCCATATTATAACCTGACGCCAAATTGCAGCGCCAATTCATTGCAGTGGTGGCGATGTAAACTAAATCTCTCCCCCCTCCTCCTCTACCCTGCAGAGACGCATGGAGATAGAAAGTACGATGGAGGGTCCTTAACCGGTTTTGAAGCACTGCGATCCCTTCGCGTTGACCAAAACACTGGGGGATTTAAGATCAATGGGTTTGGCCACGATCGAATGTAAATATTTTGTAAGTGCGTCGTAATTATACATTTATATATTTTCTATTTCTACAATATTTCAGAGTCCTAAGTGTACGGAAAGAATACATTTTTAAACAAATTTTATTGTGTTATTAACATTAAAATTACGCATTATTTCTTCTCTACTTATAGAACTTCTGCCTAAAATACTTTCTCAAATATGACATGATTTTTTTTAGCTTCTGATGCATCTTTTAAATGAAAAAAATCCAAGTCAATTTGTAATTAATGCTCTATTCGGTCCATTTCAAATTAGCTCTCCTTTTATTTTAATAGTGAAATACTACGTTAAAAAGGGAATAAAAAAGGATTTTTTAAAATATTATTTAAAACTTGTACTTGCGTTATTACAAAATGTAGGGCAATAATTATTTTAATTATACTTATCAGACTTTTTTATCCTTAATTTCAACAATACATATCCTAAAACTTCTTTTATTACTTCCTTAAGTACGCATCTCATAGAATTTGCTTTGCAGTACCTTTTAACAGATTGCTTTCCAGTACAAACAATTCATGCTTAAATAGTTTTATAATGTATTTGTCAGCAGAATTACAATTTATGTTTACAATTTAATGTTAAGGTTATTATATATTTAGATAATATTTATAATTATTATAAATTTAGATACATTTAATAATTAGATTTCTTCAAAGTAATTTTCACGGGAGTTTTTTTTATTTCAAATACATTTATAAATAATTTAATAAATATTTACGTATCTTGTTAAAGGCAGATACACTACTTTTGCAAATACAAGCATAAATACCCCATACATATTTCACACTTTCGGCATGTGCAAATCTTTAATTTCTGTGCATTTACAATCTTTTTGAGTAAAGTAATCTATAATAATTTAGCATATACCCAACATTTTTACATAAGGGGAAATATGTATGAATATAATTTGAATGAAAATTACATGCATTATTTTTAATACACACTCAAAGGTCAGTTTTGCGTTGAAATTCCTTCACGATGGCATCTCTCCATTTAGGCAGATAACCCTTGCCTGACTTACTCTATTTAACAAAAAACTTAACCTTATATGCCTAATTAGAAATATTTTAACATACAAAATTTTATATTTACAGTCAGCCATCAAGTTTCACACTTTGAAACACGTTTTAGAATACATTTATTATCAAACTCAAATCTTCTAGAAAATATATTTTGGCAGAGCATTCAATACCTTTGCTGTTACTGGTTCTCAATTTCTCAGAGAAATCTTTAATCCAGGAGAGAGTTAATTGAGAATCGAAAATTTTGCCACTTTTTAGTTACGATACTGAGAGCAAATATTGTAATTATGCTCTCGTTAGCCATTCTTTGTCTATGAAATGAGACCTACGTACATTAAAAAGCAAGCATGAACTTCGAATTTCCGAGAAAAGTTCTATTAATGGGTGAAACACTTATTTGTAGACAGGCTATTCATATATCAGCACATGGTAACCTTTACCCGAGTCCATGTACACATTAATCTTATTTTCATTCAGAAAAAACCGGGAGCTAAAACTATCATGGTAACCAGAAATGAGGTTTCATCACCAAAATTTAACAAAATTGTTCGTAATCGAACGTACACTCAATTCTACACTAGAACCCTTATCACTTCTATTTAAGTTGTCCCTTTTGTACTTTTTTTAAATCGACTTTAGATTTTGCAATCTTTCTATTTTTTTCACGAAGATGAATTTTCAGAAAGAGAGCAGAGGCAAAAGACAAAACCTTTTCTTTAACATTTTCAGCATGAAGCTCACAGTTTAGAAATTCAAACATTGACGACTGCGACAAGAGATTTTTCAAATTCCGCAGGATGTCAGGTGATGACAAGCGGCTAGATAAAAAAGTGTTGGATATATGCAGAAGTTCAGCAATGCATAATGTCATCTTTTCTGACGGATGTGTTAGTCCTCCTTCTGTTACATCTTGATCCTTATATTCTTTAAAATGTAAGAACAGAGTATGCTGTAGCATAGGCTTTGCCCTATCTATAAGAGCCACTTTACATGTATCGCACTCATTTAGCTTTAGGCAACGTAATACTCTTCTGGATAAATATCCACTTAAGAAAGCAACTACATTTAGTGATAAATTGTCAAGTTTTTGAAAACTTGCATCACAGCAGGAAGAATCACAGTGAATGACTAAATCTATCATCAAAATCCTTATTTCTACTATTTTGTTCATCCTCCTCCTCTGCATCTCCTTTACTTTCTATACTTGTAGATGGAGGTACAGGAGCCAAAATAAAAAACATAAATTGATCCCCATCTGGTTCACAGTTGGAGAATTTACTTTTACATCGGAATGAATTTAGTGATGCAATCTTGAATACTGATGAAAACTCGTAAGCCGATGGATTTGTACGGTTTCCACCACTTCCTCGGATACGACTAAAAAAGTTTTCAAGGCAATCTTGGTTGCATCTCTTTGTCATAAAGAATTCGCGTTCTTTCAGCATCTCTTCCGAAAGCTGCAACATGGCTGTTATTGTCTGGGTCCAACCTTTTCTACTACCGCATCCTGCGACATGCCTTCTAGGACCTCCTTGATTTTGTGCAAGTGGTTTCAGAAAAACCCATGAGTCAATGAATGACAGCATGTTTGTCCAAAATTTAACATGTTCAGAACCTTCTGTTACAGCACAATGTAATTGTTTTCCCCTTAAGGGATTTTTTCGAATTCCATTCATAGAATCGAACAAATTGTCTATCTCTTGTATAAATTCTACCGTTGGAGCAGCACTTGCTTCTATTAGTCCAGATAGGACACACATATTCATTCCTGCTGCTACTGTGTGGCTAAAAACTTGCGCAGCAAGCGCAACTTTCATGGAATTCATGCCAGCCACGTATATGTGTGCATCGGTAATTTTTGGTGCACAGCGAACAAGAAGTGTTTGATCCACTGTGTAAAAATCTCGAATGTGCTTGAATGACACAAGTCCTTTATTAGTTTGGAGGTCATATTTCATAAGGCTACGTCGTAAATTTTTTAAAAGGTGTGGTGGATCGAACAAACAAAAAAACCTTCTGCCCATTAAAATAGAAGAATGGCTTTGTAGATTCTGTTCCTAGGAGACCAAACAATCTACAATTACTTCCACTCTGGTCACAAACCAGAGCCTTAACTGTAGCATTAGCAGAAGACAATTTTGACAATGCCTCCATTACTATATCTCGAAGTCGTTCTGCATTCATGGCATGGCTTGAGAAGTAAAAACCAAGTGGTACCTTTTTCTTGCTAGTCAAACTTCTCAGCATTAGTACCAGTGCATGATTGGCAAATGAATCGCTTCGTAAACCACCAAAGTCCTCAAATCCAATTACATGATCTTTTTGTCGGTCATACACTAGAGAAGGTTTCAATGATATTTCGTCAAAGATTAAGGCAAACATTTTTTCATGTTTCTCCTTATTTTGCAGAACTTGTTTCAATGCAAATATAACATCTGCACTAATCCCTGTGTATGAGAGCTTCGATGACACAAAACGCTGAAGAGTTCGTTCATCTGGTAGCTGAAGAAATTCTTTTAAAACACGATATGCTGCTCTACTTTTACTGTAGATGCGATAGGCATCAATTTTGTCAGATTGCGTAAAACGCCTGCCTTTTGTTTTTTGAGTGTTCAATATTACCTGCCGCTGAATGAATGAACATTTTTTGCTAACCCTTTGACTAATTTTTTTTTCAAAAGAATAAGCTATAGATTTTCTCTCTGAAGATGCCACTTTTAATTTTAGTCGTCCTTGCCATGTCCCGATACTTTTTAACAGTATTTGCCAATACTGATTTTCTGGGCGTATATTTTCTCGCTGAATAATGCGACTTTGGTGTGCTGCAGGCTACTGGTGTTTGTCGGTTACTTGGTCCTTGAACAGGAAATGGGGATATTAAATGATTATCCATAGCACTTGAGAAAGGAGTGTCACTTAAATTAGGCACATGCTGATTTGAAACTGCATTCTTTGTTACGTGCGATTTCGGACAACATGGCACAGCATTGTGAACCAGACGATGTTTCGTAGTAACATTTGTAAAACACCAGTCTTGAAAATGAAACATGCAGAGATATGCTTTTTTATACAACTCAGAAGCGGGAATGCCAATGAGCTTATCATTTTGGGAAGCCTTAACCCATGCTTGGCATCTGAAAAGAAAAGAATGAAAAAAAGTATAATATGTGGATTATATATAAACATACAATAATTAAAAATCATTGATAAACATTACTAACTTTTCAAAATTATAGTATTGTTGTTTCAAACCTTTTGATTGCTAATGCCTTTTGA